GTCTCAATGGATCAAAAATCAATAATTTTCGTATTAAATCGATAGCTTCAGATGAATAATGTTTGAATCTACGTTCCGGAAATTCTATATTGGATACAGCTTGTTCAGATATTGGCTGATTTTCTTCAAAAGGATATCGACCTGCAAGACTATTTTATAAAAATAAAAGTTGATAAAACATTGTTTAAAAAAATGATATAAATGATATACAGTATTTTTTTTAAATAATAATAAATAATAAATAATAAATAATAAATCGGCACTCACCAAACGTATAGTGTCGCACCTAATGACCATAAATCAGCGCGTTTATAATTTAACCAGGCCAATTTATCAGTTCTATGAAATTGACCAAGAACTTCCGGAGCTATAAGTTCAAACAAAAGAATAATATAAATATCTTTTTTTTTAAATATCTTTAGAATATAAAATTCAAAAATTCAAATAAATAAACATACCAGCAAAAGCAGGTGTTCCAACGACCTGTAATCCAGAATGATAGCCAAATTCGGTAGATAAACCAAAATCACCGAGTTTTGCAGATCCATCTGGATATAACATTATATTTTCGGGCTACAATTATAATTAATAATTAAAATTAGTATCGATATTTTAATGTTAATGTAATAGAATTATTATTAAAAAATAATAAATTTACTTTAATATCCCGATGAACAAATCCAGAATCATGTAAACCTTTAACAGCCTCAAATATAGGCTTCATCAGTTCGCGAATACTATGTTCGGTCATCCTACGACGATAAATCAAATCACTTAGGTCTTTACTTGCAAGAGGCATTATATAATATACTTTTTGTTTGGTTTCTACTAAATCTAAAAGTGGTACTAAATTGGGCTATAACAATAATGGAGTTGAAATGACAATTAAGTTTAAATAATAATCAATTTAAAAATAAATTTAACGATAAATTTAACGAATAATAAATTTACTTACTAGGCCATCCGTTCGTAACATGATTTTACCTTCATGTATTATTTCCGAATTTCTCTTTTTTTGTTTTTTATCAGCAATCTGAAATCGGCCTATCGAACACATAAATTGCTTTTTCAAACATTTCACCGCAACGCGTGCATTATTTTGAAGGTCCACACCTATTGAATAATAAATACATATGTCACATTTTTACGA